AAGTGTGGAGGTGGGAAACTTTACTTGCTTTCTAGTTTATTTTTCTTTTTAGTTTGTTATCAAGTCCTTGCATGTTCTATTGAGTCATTTATGTGTACCAGAAAATTTTAAATTTTTTAGAAAAGCAAAAGAAAGAACGGTGCAAAAATTCTTTGAAATTTTAGGCTATTGGACAAATAGATGATAGGTTGCAAAGGCTTGGGAAAATTACTAAAAGATCAATATCTTTTTAATACCATAAGTCTCTAAAATATGGGAATCGATTTGCATAATTATTAAACCATGGACATGAATTCTCATCTCTGAATTAGTCTTTTTAGTAGTTTATCTTAGCAGTCAGCACCATCCTAGGCATATTTTACGCAAGGAAGCCAATGAATATAAGTGAATAATCCTAATGCTAAAAAATAAAAATAAGGAATGCACCCTTTTAAGATAAGTAACCCTCACCCATTTGCTTATTCTAAGGAGGTTGTAGAACTTACAAAAATTTATTAATCAGGTTTTAGTCGGTTCAGGGGTTTCTTGTACTGAACTTGGTAGAGTGGATTACAGTCCGATCCCTCGCAACTGAAATCAAGAAAAATAATGGGGTATACCGCTTAAAAAGGCACCAAAACCTCAAGAAAAAAATGGGGATTAGAGTCACTAACCAGTCTCCCTGCTATAAGTATGTACGAATAACGCGCTTAATATGTTTGCACCTGAATGAAAATAGATGAAAGATGAGATAAGTAAGTTTGGTCTAAATATAATGATATGATACGAATTGGTTTGTATAGTAGAGAGACTTATGGCCGCAAAAATGAGGAGTGTGTTACTACAATATCCTTAGTTTTTTGAGCTAGTGCCTATCGATGTAACCATGTCTGAAGCAAAAATCCATAGCTTGGAATAATTACTATTGGCACCACTGTTTTTGTAAACACAGGTTTTCCTTGAGGACAAACAAAGGTTCAAGTGTGGGAGAGTTTGATGACATAAGAAAATATCATGTATTTGACTTCAATTGTGCATAATTTTAGTTTGTTTTACTTTGCATTTTTCTATTTTTTGTGTGCTTTGTTTTCATTTCAGGTATTAGGTTCGAAACAAGCCAGGAGCGACGAAATGAAGCAAAATGAACAAGAAACAACAAAAGGAGTGACGTTATAAGTGTGGGCACCTCCATGGAGACCATCCTAGGATAGCCATGGGTGGTCCACCCACGTTCTCACAGCTGACAAAGTCATGCCCACTTAGTGAGCATGGTGGTCGCCATGAGAGGTGTGGAGGTCGCCACCCTTTGTTTTTCCAAACAGTTACAAGCATGCCTTGCTTGCTCCCAAAGTGGAGGAAAAACCTCCCAGAATTTTGCCCACGCTTCTGGACGGTTTCAGGAATTTAGTTTCTTTTGATTTCCTATAAATAGGACCCTAGTTGCACCATTTAGAGCATCCAAGCTTCGTACATTTACAAAAGCCATATATTGTTCTTCTTTGTAAGTAATAACTCTTCACATTAGAGAGTTATTACACGGCCTATTGAGTTTGTATTTCGCTTGGAGCAATTGTACAAGTTTTTTTCTACCTTGTTATTTGCTTTGAAGAATTACTAAAAGGTTACTCAAAGTTTTCCCTTCTTGTATCAGACAAAAGTCTCTTTGGAGAAGATTTAAATTTATGCATTATTTTATTTACTTGATTTATTTTCTTCTTTTACTATTTCACACCCTTTAATTATGCTTGCCATGCTTTACCTATTTACCACATTTATCGCTTTCTTTATTACCATGTCAAGTTAATTTAATTATGTGTTGGAATGAGAGGACTTTAATTAAACAAGCTTTTATCACTCTTGTATAATCATCTTTAGGGATGTTTTGGTTTTTAAACAATTTTACCAAACTTTACTTTAATCTACCTTTACGTAAGTAAGGCAGTGAAAATACCAGGTAAGATCGAAAGTTGTTCGATATAAATGATTAAATTGTTATTTGGTTAATTGAATAGGTCCCGCGAAAGCCTTTTATTAATTAATTAGGAAAGTTTAAGATTTCTAGAATGTTGGTTTTAAAACTACTGACGAACATGCACATTATTAGGTTTAGAATCCGGTTCTTAAGCGAAAGCTTAAGAACCCTTTTTAAATTGAACTTTTCGACCAAAATCATCTTTCAATTAAGTTAAGAATTTTATTTCTTAAAAATTGATTTACTACTTTAACGCAGTGCACACTCATTGTTCATATGTGACAAATGAATGGTTAGATTTAAAGGGTAAATTCGATTTTGATAGGTGAAAACGTCAGTTCCCATTAAATTAGTTATTTTCATGGTAGAAAATATTGTCCTATTTGAAATTCTATGAGGAACAAATAAATACATGGTTAATTAACGATGTCTCAACTCCAACACTGTTCGCTCTAATTTATTTATTCTTTTTTTGCCACAAATCTGCTATTTACTTTAATTTATCTTTCTTGCATTCAACTTTCTTATATTTAGCCTTAGGTTTAGTTAAACACCGTAGCAATTAGTAACGATAAGTTTTGACATTGCTCTTTGTGGTTCAATAATCTTTTAAAACTACAATGATAGGCTGTGCACTTGCAATTAGAAAATATATACTAAGTAGCCCATGATCATTATATTTGTTAGTAACAAACAAGGCGATGGACTCTGTATTGGCCCAAGAAAAGAGAAGACTGGACTAGTAGTCTACTTTGTGGACAAAGTGTTCAAGGGTATTAAGGTGAGATACCAAAAGATAGAGAGACTAGTATTGGCGGCCGTGTTAACAACAAGGAAGTTGATACCCTACTTTAAGGGGGAACCACGTGATAGTAAATAAAAGTTATCTTATTCGTGAAATTCTAAAGAAGCTCGATCTGGCAGACAAGATGGTGTATTGGCCAATAGAGATGTCAGAATATGATATTAATTTCATATTAAGAGGTACCATCAAAACTCAGTTTCTGGCGAAATTCCTGGTAGACTTCAACTCCCTTGTAGATGAGGATGTCCCACACGCCTGGATCTTATCAATAGACGAAACCTACAAACTTATGGGCAGTGACGCCGGGGTATACTCAAAGGCTCGAGTAATAACCTTATAGAGAAATTCTCGAGGTTCGAGTTCAAATCCACTAATAACCAGCCCTCATTGTCGGAATAAACCCCGCCGTAGAAATGAGTACTTTGAATCTTATAGCACAAAGAGACTCTCAGATGATTGTCAACCAGGTAGATGACGAGTATCAGCCAAGGAAGCATAACTCGTCAAATACCTCCAGAGAGTGCAGGACTTAGCTAAAAAATTCAATTATTTTAAATAATTTATGTACCTAGAAATCAGAATGCCCTAAAGGACCTCTTATCAAAGCTCGCTAGGACAAATGAGTCAGGTTATAATAGAACAATGATATAAGAAACCATATGCACACGCAACACAAAAAAGGTGGAAGTCAATGTCATAAACGTCATTGAAACCCAAAATTTGATGGTCCATATAGTGTGCTACTTGACACTGAAGAGTCTCTTTCAAAGGAAGCTGGAGAAAAAAAATATAAAAAGGTTATCCGTGAGTATATCATTGTATGAGGGAAGTTGTACAAGATGGAAATGGCCTCCCTCGTGCTGAGGTGCTTGTACGAGGATAAGTTCGTCCGGGTCCTCACAGAGGTCCATGAAGAGGTCTACAAAAGTCACTGGTGGGTGATCTCTCACTTATAAATTATTAAGGGCTGATTAATATTGGCTAACCCTGATGAAGGACAACACAGAGTTACTCAAAAAATGCAAAAAATGCCAAATATATTCCAATATTCTCTATGTCCCGACCGAGACTCTCCAATCTGTCACGCCTCTCTATCCCTTTTATCAGTGGGGGAGTGGACAACCCGAGTCCCTCCCTCATAATGTCAAGTCAGTTAAAGTTCTTGATTATGGGAGTTGACTACTTCGCGAAGTGGATAAAGGGTGAAGTCATGTCCAAAATTAAAACAGAAAGAGTGTGAAATTTCTTTTGAAAACAACTCATTTACATGATTGGTTTTCTGAAGAGTATTGTCTCATATAATCGAACTCAGTTCAACCGCCAACTCAACTGTGGTGAGATTCTATCATCAATTGAAAATTTAAACAATGTTTGTTTCAGTTGTCCAGCCACTCAGGTGAATAAATATGGAGAATTAAGCAACAAGATGAGCCGAACAACTGCATAAAGTATATATTTTTTTATCATTAAGTCCATTTAATCTAACAATTTTTTTTTTGCCTAAGACATACATTCACATTTAATATATTATTTACAAAGGTTTTGTGCTCATATAATATAACACAATAATAAAATATTTATAATTATTTATTTTTAAAAAATTTTAAATTGACAAAAATATTTTAAAATTAAATAAGTATATATTTTATTTAAAAAATTTATATCTATACTAATTATTAAAAAACACGAGTAAATAAATTTTTTAAAAGTTAAATAAAAATATGTTATATATTTTATATAAATGTTAAAACAAGTCTTGCAAAATTTAATATTAATAATAATATTTTAAATACTCTAATTTCTATCAAATGATTATTAATAATTATATTTTAAATTTTAATATTAATTTATTATTATTATTATTATTATTATTATTATTATTATTATTATTATTATTATTATTATTATTATTATTATTATTATTTATTTATATCTATATTTTAATAGATCAGACATTGATTGGCTTTTCTAATTAAAAAAAAAAGATTCTTCTCTCTGACATGGAGAATATAGTGATTTGTTGAGTACTAGATTTCCAATAAAATAAAATAAAAACCAACACGTAGCAACTACCACGTGAGGGCCCACGGTGTCATCTTCGGCTTCAGTTGATACTCCGGCGAGTGCAACAGTGGCAATGACCGTACTGTCCACCTAACATCGCACCAAAATGAATCGAATTAATTACTTATTATTAATAAAGGTTTCATTTAATCTCTTCACTTTCCATCCAACGAAATTTCTATGGCACGCCACAACACCACCACTCTTCGCGTTTTCTGCGTCGGAACGCTAGACACCAAGCTCCACGAGCTCCGTTATCTCTCCGATTCGCTTCGCTCCAATCTCCATCGCTTCTCCGATCACACTTCCCCCAAGGTACTACTACTACTACTAGTACTAACACTCACAATCATTCGTTTTCCTTCATTCACATTTCAATCGATGTTATATAAATTCGTATTTTCCAGATTGATGTTGTGGTGGTTGATGTTTCTACCGGTCCGAACCAGCCAGAATCATTACCAGATTTCACATTCGTTTCCAGAAACGATGTTATCTCTTGCATCGACACCGCCAATCTTCTTCCACAAGACAGAGGAGAAGCAGTTTCCGTTATGAGTAAAGCGCTCCAACAATTCTTACAGAAATCTAACTCGGATCGATGTGTGGCAGGCGTTATCGGCGTTGGCGGTAGTGGAGGCACATCGCTTTTGTCATCTTCGTTCAGGTCTCTTCCGCTCGGGATCCCTAAGCTCATTGTATCAACGGTTGCTAGTGGCCAAACGGAACCTTACGTTGGAACTTCTGATTTGGTTTTATTTCCGTCCATTGTTGATGTTGCCGGTATTAATAGTGTTAGTAGGGTGGTTTTTTCCAATGCTGCTGCTGCTTTCGCTGGGATGGTTGTTGGAAGGGTTCGGAGTTTGAGTGATTCTTCTCGAGTTGATGATAAGGCTACTGTTGGTATAACTATGTTTGGGGTTACTACTCCTTGTGTGGATGCTGTTAGAGATAGGTTGCATGGAGAGGGTTATGAGAGCTTGGTTTTTCATGCAACAGGAGTTGGTGGCAGAGCCATGGAGAATTTGATTAGAGAGGGATTTATACAGGTATTTTAGAGTATAGCTAACTTTATATGCATCTAACAATGTAATTTTAGTTAGCTCTCAGGTTTTAAGAAACAGTTCGTTACTGCAATAACAGCCACAACAAAACGGTATCGGAAGGTGCCGATACTGATACCGTTATTTACCGTTTTTATGATGAAAAAGAATCGTGGTTAATTCACACCGTGATGACCGCAATCAGTATCGCAACACTTATACTAATCGAATTCGTGAAAGCCTTTATGCGACTGTTATTTAAAACCTTGGTAGCGATATGTTTTTTGTTTTGTTTTAAAGCATTGGAGCTTTGCAGATACTTTGGCATGCTTATTACGATATTAACTGTATGGAAATTGCAAATTTCATTTTTACTCTCATGGTTGCCAACACTTATTCAGTTTATTTTAGATTTGTGTGTATAAATAGTCTGTTTTGGAAAAGCTGACACAACTTTCATTGACATGATTGTATGGGACACAAAATGAACTGTAACGAGCTCTGTGGAATCGCTTCTGTTCTGTTTTGTCTTGTTTCAGATTCTTCTTTGTGTATTCCTTCCTCTAGTTGAATATTTTATGTATTTTGCTTAGGGTGTTTTGGACATCACAACGACAGAGGTAGCAGACTACATAGTTGGAGGCGTAATGGCTTGCGATAGTTCTCGCTTTGATGTCATAATAGAACAGAAAATCCCACTGGTCTTGAGTGTGGGAGCATTAGACATGGTAAATTTTGGAGCAAAAGATACCATACCACAGACTTTTCAGCAGAGAAATATATATGAACACAATAAGCAGGTGATGACTAGGATGTTCCATTTTGTTTTTGCTTGAAAACTACTCATATACGTACCATGATTGCTACTTCATTTCGTTATGCATATAGTATATTAGTGTTCCCTTTTATTTTTGCTAGAAAACTACTCATACGTGCCAAGGTTACTGCTTCACTTTCAATATGCAAATAGTAATATGGGTCACATATCTCCCACTATCTTGAGACATTGACCAAAGCAAGATATATCAATGATCTTCTATTGGACTTCTCAAAATGCATTTTATAAATCACTGGAATTAAATAAGTTTGACGTGCTGAAATGGTTAATTTTGTCTCGTGCTAATATAATAAATTCATTGATTCTCTTTCCAGGTTTCACTCATGCGAACAACAGTGGATGAGAACAGGAAATTTGCTGACTTCATAGCAAATAAGCTGAACAGTTCATCATCTAAGATCTGTGTTTGCCTCCCGGAAAAAGGTATATCTGCTTTAGATGCACCAGGTAAGCCTTTTTATGATCCAGAGGCAACAGGTACACTTCTTCTTGAATTACAAAGACTTATTCAGACTGATGATATTCGACAGGTACTATAATTTCTTAACAGTATTGTTGAACATCATTGTGAGCTGTAAAGTTTCAATTTTGATAGGATTTTCTTTTACTTGTTGCTAGGAAGACTTCTTAAGGTCCAAGCTTGTGTGTTGTGCAGGTGAAGGTGTATCCCCATCATATTAATGACCTTGAATTTGCAAATGTATTAGTGGATGCATTTTTAGAAGTTAATGAAAAGAAAGGTTCTACTCATCCACAAGTAGCCATTCCTGAATCTGTTGAACACTTCCATGAAGATTCTGTTTCAAATAAATCAAGTTTTGGGACTATTGTCTATGCACCTAATGAATTCCCAGATGCAAAACCAGGTTCTCATTTCATTTAAATTTGCAGTTTGTTTTTCTTGTTCACAATTATTTTGTTAACATCAGTTCTAGATGTAAATAAATTATGACTTTCTAGTGGTTCCGCCTTTCAAATAACATGCATATTCTTTTGCCAGGTTTCCAACAATTGCTACCATTTTGCAATAAAGAATTTGATAGGAAGTGATAAATTAATAAGTCTAATTATTCTAATTCGAGAAAGAGTATGTCTCCACAGAAAGAGAGAAATATTAGAATTTTTTTATGAATAATTTTCTTCATCCCTAAATACATGTACAATACTAATATATATAGATAAATATTGGTTTAGACTGTTTGTGCACTATCTTTAAAGGTAGTGCACAGATAGTGTAAACCAATGTTACACATACAACCAATCAAAATTCTTATACTTGTCATGTCATATCAGTACTTTAAAAATAAAAGTGTGTTTTAATTGGATACACACCTCTCATTGGTTGACAGTGTAAAACAATTTTACACTATTAGTGCATATTCTTTTTTTCTCATTTAATAATTTATTTATAAACGTACTCCCTTCGGTCACTATTATAAGAAAAAAAAAGACCTTAAATTTTAGTCATTATTATAAGCAAAAGTCATTAACTTTCAAACTAATTAATGCTTGGGTTATTAGTTTACCCTTGATTTAATTCAAAAGCATTTAATGTTGGTAGTTGATTCATCAAATATAACTAGGGATATTATAGTAAAGTTTACTTTGATTGTACATGAAATCAAGAAAATTAATTACACTTAACTAATTTTCTTAATCAATGTGAAAGTAGTTATTTTGGCTTATAATAGTGACCGGAGGGAGTATCATTACTCCATCCGTCCACAACAACCTTGTCCTCAAGGTTGTAATTAGAACAAATAAAACATCCACCGGGGTCATATACATATAACGTTGTATCCCATAAATTGGGTGTCATAGATTGCTGAAACCCTTGATCGATTTGGCCAATTAATAATAATCCAACGACACAATTAATGGTAATTCCATATACTTTTTGTTGTTGAATCGTGCCCTCCACTGTGGAGCATGGTTGTGTTTTCAACCGCATTTGATTTTCCTCTGCCGTCACCAGTATTTGAGTTTCCTCCATGATCGGATTGATTCCGATTGATTTTGGTAGAACAATCAATTTTTCATTGAGATCACTTGTTTGCATCACCACTTCTAAGGTTTGTGGAGTCTCTGTAGCATGTGACACATGACAATCATGTTTGCCTCTGGTTATGGACGATTTTGATGCAACGATCGGCGATTCGGAAGCAACAATTTCCATTTGCACTATGTCATTCATTCTTCTAAGCGCCTCCATGACTTTATTGTATGATTCATCGATACGTGAATTAATTTCTCGAAATGATTCGTGTATGAGAGAAAGAGGGTTCATGAATGAAATGGTTTTCAAAGATGAAAGCACCAATGATAGGAAGTGATAAATTAATAGGTCTAATTATTCCAATTCGAGAAGGAATATGTCTCCATAGAAAGGGAGAAAGACTAGAATTCTTTTATGAATAATTTTCTTCATTCCTGAATACATGTACAATACTAATATGAATTTAATTGATATACACCCACGGTATAAAGCAGTTTTACACCGTCAGTTAATCGTAACCGTCCAATTTTTAAAATTGTTTGACTTTTATTTTAATTGGCTTCAAAGTATTACATATGAGTGGTTGTGATGCACTGCATGTGTACAAAAATTTACACTGACAGTGCATGCCAATTAACCTCTACTAATATATATAGATAAATATACAGACACAACTACTTCCTAATAATTAAGAGATAGACTAGTTTCTTAACCCATTCTTAACTCTATAAAACTACTAATAACTACCTATATATATATATATATATATATATATATATATATATATATATATATATATATATATATATATATATATATATATATATATATATATATATATATATATATATATATATATATATATATATATATATATATATATATATATATATATATATATATATATATATATATATATATATATATATATATATATATATATATATATATATATATATATATATATATATATATATATATATATATATATATATATATATATATATATATATATATATATATATATATATATATATATATATATATATATATATATATATATATATATATATATATATATATATATACTTAATAATAATTTATATCATATATTGCATATAGAATACATATTTAATAATTTATTTATACATGTATCAGAATTCCTTTTGCTGCTTTTTTTTTTCTCCATATTATTTGTGTTGATTGTTCCATGAAATTTAATTAGTGCTAGGGTGTTGGCCTGAAAATATTTGCTCCATTCTTTTTGTGTTAAGCTTCTGTTGAATTTGGAATAAATAATTGACTTTATGTCCAACTACTATTTTCATTTCTATTGGCAGAAACTTTGAAGAAAACACAGCTAATATTGCAGCAATTTAGATATCAAATAGATAAAGGAATTCCTATTATAGGAGCCGGTGCTGGGACTGGAATATCTGCCAAGTTTGAAGAATATGGAGGAGTTGACTTAATTATATTGTACAACTCAGGGCGCTTCCGAATGGCTGGGAGAGGTTCATTAGCAGGGTTATTACCATTTGCCGATGCTAATGCTGTTGTGCTTGACATGGCCAATGAAGTTCTGCCAGTACATCTTATTTCTATACTTTTATTTTTAGATACTAAAAATATTGTCCTGTTGCTAACTTCTGTTCAAGTATTTTTCACTCCAAGTGGCTGATTTTTCAGATGCTTCTTAATTTGAATTTTGAACATACACAGGGTTTAAGATTATTGTTAGATATAGGTGGTAAGATTGATATGCTAAAAAATTTAATGTCGCCAAATATGAATGTAATTGTGGAAAAACAATTGCACAAAAAAAGCGATACATCACTATGCGAGAGGCTGTTGAAGAATGATTTCAGAGGGGATAATGGGGTTTTGAGGATAAATATTGGTAAAGCAGAAAATACTGTGTCTGTCATCACAAAATATACCGGTGGCAATATTAAGTTCTGAGCATCTCTAATGATAGAACCCAGTTTGGGTTTCTACATACTTTTAGTGGGTCCTACAATTGCAAATAGAATTTAAGAACAACAGATTTCACTCTAATGGTAGAATCCTTAAGAAATTTTAATGTGTCCCACAATTGAACCCTTAAGTTTTAAGAGCTGGCTCTTATAGAAGAACCATTCTTATACGTGGTGTCCATGACAAGGGTCACCAATGGTGCATGGGTAATATCTGATTCTTACATATAACAACCCACATAAGTACCTGCATCAGAGATTCTGTTTGATTTATATGGTTCTCATATGAACTTTTAAACATTTAGTGCTAACAATTTCATTAATTGACCTGAAAGGTAAGGTTAGAGATCTGCTGTAAAAGGCTATTCATGCAACTTCATCTAGTAGCCTATGCTTTTGGTAGAATTACTTTACAATTAAGGAACTATTACATTCTAATTCTTGAGATGAGGTGCATCCAGCTATAATAATTATTAACCATCGATAGTTATCTTGAGTAATAAATTGGAAATTTTATGTGATAGTAAAATCCCTTGTCATGGTAGCAATGAATCTCTTTATTTCTCATTCTGTAAGATTACTGATCTTTGGTTTTCAGGTGGTAAAGAAGGTACCAGTTCTTGCTGGTGTATGTGCAACTGATCCCTTCCGACGAATGGATCACTTCCTTAAACAGGTGGAGTCTACTGGATTCTCTGGGGTACAAAACTTTCCAACTGTTGGGTTGTTTGATGGTAATTTTAGGCAAAATCTCGAAGAAACTGGCATGGGATACAGGTAGGTGTTATGTGAGGATTTCTCAATACAGTGCACGAGTTGGACTGTTACAGCTCTTACAAAATGATTTGTTTTCATATTAAATAAACAGCTTGGAAGTTGAGATGATCCAAAAAGCTCATAAATTGGGGCTCTTGACAACTCCGTATGCATTCAATCAATATGAAGCTATTGAAATGGCCAAAGTTGGCGCCGATATTATTGTTGCCCATATGGGTCTAACCACAGCAGGCTCCATAGGTGCAAAAACGGCTGTTTCACTTGATGAAAGTGTAGTTCTTGTACAAGCTATTGCAGATGCAGCACATAGGATCAATCCTAATACTATTGTGCTATGCCACGGGGGTATGCTTATTTCCTGAAATCCTTTTTGTTTGTAGTGTAGGATAATGTTATGTAAACACATAACACTACATCAACACCGTATTTCTATATAGTATTGTGGGTTGTTTCTTATTATTTTTCTGTCACTTTGCAAAAAGTGCCAAGCATAGTTTCATCCTGTAGCAGACATAATTTATACGGTGTTGGTGGGAGGTGTTTGATTTTGTTTTAGCATAGCTATGCTCATTAATGTATTTTGATATGTAAACTTAGTGTTCTCCTGTCAGCTGTTAAATTCTAGGTCTAGTGACAGTTATAATGTTTTTCATCAAATTACTGAAGTTTTAAAAGAAACATCTTCTTACCCTAGGCCTTATGTTTGAGCCGTGAGCATAGCATACATTAAGATTTCGGTGAAAAATGTCAAACCCAGTGGGGAAAATTTATGGAATTGTCTTGAATGATTTTTCAGTGAGAATTATTACTCGAGTGTATTTTGGTTGAGAGATCCATTGAGAATGGCAATAGTTATTGTTAAATGGAAAATTATTTTGTTGCCATAGTTGTGACCAAAATTGTCTGAACCTCGATAAGTTATTGTTTGTTCTTACTTGGTGTGCTAAATTTCTATTTTCTAATTTGTTGGGGACTTTTTCCTAATTACTTTTGGCTACTAGAAAGGCCGAGTCATGATGTAGCTATTAAACCTTACTGCTCATTGTTATTGTTCTTAATGTCTAAAAGTAGCGGTCTCTGTCTGTCATCTTTTAGTCCCAGTTGCGAATAATGTACTGGAATTTGCAGGCCCAATTTCTGGTCCAGAAGAGGCAGAATTTATATTGAAGAGAACCAAAGGAGTCCATGGTTTTTATGGGGCTTCAAGCATGGAAAGACTACCAGTGGAACAGGCTATCACAAATACAGTCAAACAATACAAGTCAATCTATATTCATTGAGGTTCAATATGTATGTGTGCACTTTAATCATGTCAGTGTTCTGTACGCCACATTGCTAATAATGTCTGCTTGTCACTGTTTGATATCTAGGATTAATTGATACAAATTTTGGAAATAATGAAGCAAATGTAAGAGTATAGTTTAAAGAATAAAGTGCAAGTGATGGGTCTTGTAAGATATCATAGTTTGTCATCTATGCCCAACCCAGTTATTAACACTGCTTTTTACTGCTGATAGGATATCATAAACTTCTAAGCATCCTGATCCCTAATACATATAGCTATGAAGGAGTGTGGATCAACCATGTTTTATGAAGCACCGACACAGACCCCGAACACGGTAATGACACTGAAACATGTAAAAATTTGAAACAGTGAATTAATTGAATGTAATCACGTGCGCCACGGGTGCCGTGTTGGTGTCGGACACCAGACATACCTTCCATCAAAAGTGTAGGGGATATAGCAATATCCCTTTGATAGATATTGTGTTTACACAGTTCCGTAGTTTAAAATGATTAACATGTATTTTACAACGAGGTTGTGCCAATTTATATACAAGAGAGAATCTCTCAAGAAAGGAAAAATAAAATATAACGAAATTATATCAATGCTGATATAATCAACATTTCAAACAGAACAAAACACCCGAAATGTGGTTCTCTTCTCACATGAACTGTTCTAACAAGCTGCTGTTTATTCTTTGTGTTGATTTACCCCCAAGTTATAACAGGTCTCATGATCCTCCACCACCAGATTAAGTTGCAACTTAAGTTATTTTCTAATTTATATTTATATATAGAATACAAACTAAATAGATTAAGAATATCAATTCTTGAAAGTGGTGGAGAAATTTGTTATGCATTAATAATTATTGAGCAGATTTATCTCCTGTTATGCTGTTTGCCTCAAATCTCACAAGTCTGCAGACATTCATATACCCAGTTGTCTACTGCATTCTTGGGATTTCACGTGTGAACTAGCTATCTGGTAAATCTCCATGACCCCGTCTATGCCTCTGGCATGCTATTGCTTATGGACTTCAATGTTATTGGACAGCCACTCCTTAGTCTAGGTATGTGTGCCTTCTTTTCTAAGCAAGTATCTAAATCATCAAGGGTCCACCTACACAGCAGTATCTTTTAATTCCCGTTCATTTGTTCATGAAAAAAGGATCAGATAATTTTTGGCACGGCAGAAAAAACTCACGTGTAACAACTAGTTAGTCTGTGTAAAAAGACCAACATTGTCACTTTTGCCATATTCATCCCAAGGCAAGTCCTAGGCCCTGATCCAAAAGGTATAAAACTGTAGGGCTTTTGCATTTCCTGCAGATATAATTAGTGAAAAATAATTTTCTGTGGCAGAAAGCAGTCGTAAAAAATAAAAAATAAAAAGAGGGAGAGAGAGAGCTAGCTACATCAAATCTTTGTGGGTTAAATTTCAATGGATCCTTGAATAGATCTGAGTCATAATGTATACAAGTTGCATCAATGTTAACATGCCAGCCTTTCTTTATTTCATACCCTGTTGTTGACATTTGTATAGTTAATAACACTACCATGAACAAAAAAGAGACAGATGATAGAAACCCTCCAATAGTTGCAGCTAAATCTAATGAGAAACTTTATTTTATTAATATCTTTAAAGGAGTTGAGTAGTTTACCTTCAATTGTACAGTCATTAAGTGCAACACGAGGAAACCATAATAGGACATTAGACATTCTTAGTGTTTCCTTAACTACCTGGATAGAACACCGAGAGATTCTAGACATTTTAGTAATTCTGTCGTACCATTTTGGAGACAAGTAATCGTTTTTACTGGTTATGTAATGTTTCTTTAATTTTAAATACCAACCTTCAAACCGTAACGCATGTTGTTGATATCTTCATGATTAAGTGAAGCTCCTTCTGGCTTCATTTTGGTTAAAGACAACTGTTCGTCCTGCAAGTCAAGATTAACATTATAATAATAAATTTAGATCTATCGGGTCTATGATTTTACTATAATAATTATAATAGAACCATGCATCATCATCTTACCCTGAGTATGTCCTGTGCATCTCTGTTGTCATGTAGAAATTTTACACTCCACGTCATTGCCGCTGCTGTTGTAGTCTGTCCCGCAATTATCAATGTCAAAAGATTATCCATAATTTCCGAGTCATCAAGCTTTTCACTGTCTGGAAATGAGTCTCTCTTCAACATGGACTGCAGGAAGTCCCCTGGAGACTCTTCTCCCGTCCTACGTCTAGTAATGATCTCTCTGAAGGTTTCCATAAGCCTTTTACGACCCTGCTTAAGCTATAGTAATTAGTTCAACCGCATAAAACTTTAGGGAAGAAAAGTAAAAACTAGATGTTTGTTTTTCCCCTTAAATTACTCAGTACTCATAAGAAGCGAATAACTGACTCAATCACTCAAATTTAATCCTAGTAGGCCATTCTATAATTTACCAGAACTAATAAATCACAAATCTGTGCAAATATCACTAACCATGATGCCTTTATAGTATCTTGTGCCTGGAATCATGACTGGAAAGGACAACATGGCATCAGAGACAGCAGTGCAGTCTTTCTCAATCTGTCGTAGTAATGAATCCTCCGTGATGCTCATCAGCATATCGCACATTGCATCAAATGTCATCTTTATATGTCAAACATTTCATAGGAGTTAGAAGTCACACTCACACCATATCTCAGTATAACTTCAACTTGAAATTCATATTTAAACAGTCGTAGTTGAAGCCACGGTCCTCGGATATTGCAAAAAACTGCCGTCAATTACGGCTCATGTAACGAGAGTTGGGGTTGCTATTTGAATATGAAGACATAAAAACCTAATTACTATTATGTTGTCGGAATTTTATTTTTATAAATATAGAGTGATTTACCATCTATAAATGTTGCTACAGTTGTAGATTAATTGAGTTACCATCTAAATACTATTACAGTTTGAGTGCTTTCAGAAAATATCAATATATTATTTGTGTATAAAAGGAAAGTAAAAAAAAAAAAAGATTTTACCTTCATGGAGAAATCCAACACCTTAAAACTTTCCCCCTTTTCTTCTAGCTTTTGCAGCCTTCCACACAACATTTTGTCAAACTTTGTGATAAATGCAGATAAGGAAGTCATAGAGAATGGTTCGGATAGAAGTCGCCTTATTCTTTTGTGGCTCTCAACTGGTATACACAATAAGCTTTTCTTTCCTACGGCATCTGCCATTGATTTTACATAGCCCTTGTTGAATAGATCAAAGTCATTAGCAAATATTGTCCTTGCACCTTCAGGATTAGGAATAAATATGTGAATCTTGCCAAATAGCCTTGTCTTGAACCATCTCCCGTGCCTAATTACATCAAACCAACAAAATAACGTGTCTTCCATCAGCTCGTATTTCAAATTATTTATCAAAATTTGGACAACTTTATAATAAATATGATTTTCTTCTGAAAAACACTTTGGTCTAATATTCAACTTAGGATATTCAAGGTTAGAACTCAATAATCAAGGTTATTGTTTAGTTGCATAATTAAACCAAAACACTGAATCACCTTTTGGTCCAAACACTCGGTACCTATGTTCGGTGTCAAACGGGGGCATATGGCGAAGGGAGGTGGCCCAAATTGTAAAGGAGTTCACTCCCTTAACGGAGGCGTGATCTAGACTTTTGTTTTTAGACGACAACACACATGTTAATGATTATTTTGTAATTGATTCCATTATGTGCTAGTATAAAAATCTCCACAGTTAACTTGGACATGTGTAGTATATACTATTTTGTTAAAAATTGAAGTGAATAGAACCATGAAAAACATAGTTTAGCCTTAGACAATAAAACAATAATCAGCCACTATATGCTTGAGAGGATTCTTGAATTTGTACATATCAAGATTGAAATAAAACACTTACCACAATCGTCTAAGTCTGACAAAATCATAGCATCCTCTTGTACTATTAGCGGCTGAAAGAAAAGAAAAAGTTTCCCCAATAAGAGGTAATCCAAGCCGGCCAGGGATGTCTTCTCTCTTGCTTGTAGCTCTTTTCCAAGCTCTTGAAGCTAAATATGTTAATCCTATAGAGAGAAATAAGACCATGACCATGTCATAATAGTTTTGCACTACCATTACTAGTTCTTCCTTTGATATATTCCACATCTCTTATTTTATTAGTACCCTTTCTCTTAACAATGGCTATGCAGAAAAGCCAAGTAACAAGGTATTGAGTATGGTTCAGCTAGATAGCACTTATAATAATGCTATATATAGAAATAGAGATGCTTTGTTTTATACGTACAATATTAGAATGAAGAGCATCTTTGGAAAGATTGCTAGTATAAAAAGATTAAAGATTCCTATAACTAAAAGACACACTCCTAATGGAAGAAAGCGATTTTTTTATTATTCAAATGAACTTCACATCGATATTGATCATTAAAGCGGGTAAATATTTGGATTCAATAACTCTTCATTAAAAAATAGTGGACTAAACTTGGGTTGTTTTATATAAGAGACTTGGATGTTGATTGAAATGCACCCCACTATTCCACCACAGTTGTTTGAAAGCTACATTACTTGAAATAATACAAGTTGAGCTTGCCATTATAGTTAATGGTTGTGATTTGAACATTAAAATACAAACAAAGTTGTTAAAAATCAAGTTTTAATTTGCACAAGTTGCTCAATTTTACGTTTTTAGGTAAGAATTTTGAGTTAAATCGTCAATAAAATGGAAGTGAACTTTCAAATTTGGATATTATCAAGTTCACATCTCTAAAATATCCATTTATGAGTCCTATCTAATGTGCCACTATTAATCAAACAGTTTGTAGTGATACTTAAATGGCACACGATTGGTGAGTCAGGGTGGAATAGTGTTTTACCTTAGATTCTAAGTTCTAAAATAGGCAACAATATTATGATGTGACCTAGAGCTTGTTTCACAATTTTCTTGAAATTTTACACAAAAATGGAAATTTGATTTTTCTCCCTTAAAGGAG